GTAAGCTCTAAATATTCGGTACATTACTCCTTCACAAAAGGTTGAAATTCCGTTTCAACACGAACCAACACCTCTGTTATATTATTATTCCGCAATCTCTTTCTGGTCTGTCATCTATCACGTTTATACACATATAACTTTCACACCCCGAACAACTTTCGGAAACACACAAAATGAATATTAATTACTCAAAGTTGCCAAGTCGTGATCGAAAGGCGGTGGTATGTGTGGACTCTATTTACCTACACTCGATAAAGGGATATAGTAGTTCGAGACGAAACCGCAAAAAGTAAAATCAGATGTTTTGTGTCATTTATTTCTCTTCTACGCTTTCAAAGTAGTAAAGAGCGGAAGTCCCTCGAGTTCTCGGAGAGTCTGAAAGTATACTACTAAGATAAGTTACTGTATATCAAACCTAGCGTCATCGTAACGAGTTCTATACTAGAATCAAAGTTCAAAGAAAACGTAGCCTTTGACGGAAATGGACTTTTTCAATCAATAAGCGATAACGTAGGTCGCAAAAACGAAGTGTTTCGTTTAATTTAACGCTGACGTGTCAATTTACATATTTGAGATAACAAGTATACGTCTTTCATTGCGTACTAAGTGATTTAATTTATATTGCAGGTCCGGGCTATTGGGGACTAATGAACCCGCAATGGAATATGTGTTCAAAAGGACGAAGGCAGTCGCCAATCAACGTAGAACCTGACAAATTACTTTTTGACCCCTTTTTGAGACAAATACATTTGGATAAACACAAGGTAGGAAATTAAGTTTTCGCTAATTTGCATTTTAATTACGTGCATCTATGAATGGAAGATACAAATTCTATTTACCTGCGCTATTGAATACAAAGGAAATAGCTTTGTTGTATTCGTTTATCTTTTCATGTGTACTACCATTGAATAAAATAATGCTTTTATTCAATGATACTACTTACCTTAAACATTTTGGAATCAGCTGTCCTTCTACTTATCCTTTATATGCTTTTTCCACTTTTTGTCGCGTCGCCAATATTGTATTGAATCTGAAAGAGCAATCCACATGTCTTCGTCTCTATAAACCGTGTTAGAAAGACGATCATGTGTGTGTTCCTTTTCAGTGCTACTGAGATGAATTTAATGTTCCGTGGATTTTGACAAAATTTCGATCACATAATACAGAAAAACTTTCTTAAACATCTTAGACATAGAATTTGAACTTTGTTCAGTTGATTCCTGAGTTTGAAGTAATGTAGGACTTTTTTGGTATTTTGCATTTTTCCGAAAACAAAAAATAGTACACGCCCTCTTTTCCTTAACTGATCCCTTCAATTTCGATCTATTATGAGCGAACCCATAAATGGTAGTACTCGGGACCGATTGCCCACGGAAACTCGATATGAGGGGTTGAAACGGCCTGTGGTTTGCAGAACCAAAGTTGAAGGCTCTATTACTGCACCACAGTTGCAGTAAAGTAGTAGATCTGGTTGTTATGATGAGTTTACACAATCATGATCATTAGTTCACTATCAAAAATCATTAGGAAATAGCCAATAGAAACAAAGATCTGTTGCGCGTTGCTAACCAACGAAACCATCCTCAGCTGAGTGAATTAATTGTAGAAACCCACCATTACAGAACCAAATTTAAGACACTATTTTGGTCCTACTTCAATTACAATTACAGTCGAATGCATAGTTTCGCGCGGCTTAATTTTAATTAGTAATAATATAATATATACTTTCTCATCTGTAATTAGGCTCTGCTGTTAGATGGGAAATAAAATATATTATTATTATTATTATTATTATACAATCTACAATTGCGTCAACCCGAACTTTAATTTACTGTCTGGCCCTGACCCACGCTCCGATTGGCTGCATTTATGGAAGTTTCGTGAATTATAAAGAACTAGGTGCCAGTAATTATTATAAATACAACTGCAGGTCATTTAATTGATTGTATCTGAAAAGGTGTTACCTTGAGATACTATGATATTCGAAGTAAATTATCAAATCAAAAAGTGAATAGGTTTCAATGTAAAGGTTAACAAATGACATCGAGACAACCAAAAATATACATGGTGCTCTATTTGTAAAAGAAAGTTATTCGTTTACACCGTAAAAATCGGACACCATGTACATTTAAAAATAATCTATATTATAATTTCGCCCTTTTAAAAAATCCGTCACGCAGGAGTTGTGCGCGTTTAGAAGATCTTTCCGACGACACCAGTTTCAACGGACCAAAACTATAGAAGAAGATAGGAAAAAACTGAAAAATTGACACGTTACTTAACCACGTTCGGGAATGGCGCCCAGATGTCGACATCATGTAGCACAGTCTCTAAAGTTGTAAATAGCAGACGCGTTATCCTTTCGGAAAACTCTGCAGCAATTTTGTACATTTTTGCTTGTGAAGACAATCTTAAACCTACAAATGACCTAATGTCCAACTCTGAATTGGGATACGTATTTAAAAAGACACAAAGAAAAGTTTTCATGCAAAGAATCGAACCCGAGCCGTCAGGTTGCAAACCGAGTTTTTTTGCTACTAGACCATTTTGTCATACATTCGATCGTGATTAAGCTTCGCATTTCGAAATATGTAGTTGTGAGGAAGGGTCAATTATCGCATGCATGCGGACGCGTATGCCGCCTTCAAGTATGCGATACACGTGCACTCCTTTTCTACAAGCGTTCTTCTACGGGTCCTCATTTGCTGTTAGCCAGCCAAAGTATGAATAAAAGCTACCTTTTTACAAACAAGTAAGCAAAAATGCGATAAAAACCCCGCGACTAGCATTTGGCTTCAACCTGCCAATTTAGGTAGTTAATTCTAAAGAAAATTCTTGCAAAATTAATTAACTGTCGACTTCATTATCGCTTTTAACCATTCGTACGTCAGTAAGGGGCATTCTGACTTTAAATTCCTTATTCCAATCAAACATTAGTCAAGTGCAAATTCCAAAACAGTCATTTACCAAATTTTGAAAGCATTTGAAATGAATTTTGGGCGTGAATAAACAAAATCAAACGTAATTGAACATGAGACTTCTCTCTTTGTGGTTAAAGGGTTCGAATAAGTACACGACTGGCATGATATTACAATAACAAAATTTATTCTACGACCGCAAATGAACTTTAACATGAAATCCTAATTAACAAATTTGAATCACAGCGTCCGAATAAACAAACATCAAAAAGCCTTAACCTTACTTAGAGTTTTTTGAGTTATAATATCCCATTACGATCCGGACACAACACTAATTACAACCAGAAAACAATGCACTTTAATGAATGTGACGCACAAAAACTTGGTCTTAAATCCGTTCTCCAAATAAAAAAAAAACTTCTTCTATAAAACGGTCAGCAGCAGCGGAACAGTACCTCAGTTTCGAATAATGGAA